CAAAAATGGCTCTCAAAAGCTATGAAAAATTGAAGAATGATTTGCAATGAAAGAGTAGGAGTTGTGAAGTAATTGTTAGAATAAAGGCCCAACGCTAGAGGGGGGGTGAATAGCGTTTAAAACAAAATCGCAGGAAATTAAAAACGAGAGCGTTAAAGTAAAGAGCGTAAGGAAGGAGCACACCGGATTTTATCCTGGTTCACCACAACGTGTGGCTAATCCAGCCCCCCGAGAGACTCTCTCGAGCTACACTAACTCCATTAAGCTTAAGGGTGCTTAACAAACTGATACAACTTGAGAACCCGAGTCACACGAGCCTCAACACCTTTGCTCGGAGATACCGCACTCCAAGACTTCTCACGAAGGAACAAGTAATTTCCTTCGAGTTTACAACAAGGGAACAACCTCCCTTAAAGTGTATGAAAACACTTAAACACTCAGGAATAAAACTCTCACAAAGAGTAGATATGAGTGAACTAGTAAACGCTCAAGAACACGACAATTTCTTCAAGAATTGGCTCTCAAATAGCTAAGAAAAATAGACCCTAACCTAAAATAATTATAAAATTAAAACTAAATTTGTAATTATAAACAAAATATGATATTTTAAAAACCCTAATGTAAACAATACAATTATAATAAAAAAATAATTCACAAATAGAATTTGAATAAGAGTTGAAAAATTGAAAAAAAAACCTGGGATGAAGACCTGACGATGACCGGACGGCAAGGAGGACCGGCGGTTGATGGTGGCGGGCGGAGACGACGAGCGGACGGCGCGGTAGAGGAGATTCGAGGACGATTTGGACAGCAGACCTGAGACTCTCGGTGGCGGACCCTTTTCTTTCTGTCTGCAAATCGGTGAAACTGTCCAAGGAAGAGGGTATAGATCTACTTTGGAGCGACGGAAGGTAGCAACGGAAACAATCCGTCGCCAAGGCAAAACGCAGTGTTTCAATAAAATTCCCTTAGCAACGGAAATCTTCTGTCGCTGAAACTAACGACGCAAATTTCCGTCGGTAATTCTGTTGTCAAAATTACCGCGCACAACCTCCCGCCAATACATAGCGACGGACCTTTCTTTCCGTCGTTAGTTTTGGTTGGCGTACTCTTCCGTCGCTGTTAGCGTCGAACTAAATTCCGTCGCTGTAATCCGTCGTTGTTTTGGCGTTTTCTTGTACTGAGTTAGCAAAGGTGCATACTGATGACAATTGTGCAGATATGCTAACCAAGGCATTGTTAGAATAAGTGCCCTTCACTAGACGAGGGGAATAGTGAGGCACGAGAATGTTTATAAATTTTCGCGGAATAAAAATCGTAGGGATAAAGTAAAGAGCGGAATAAAAAAGCGTAAGGAAAGAACACACCGATTTTACCCTGGTTCACCACACCGTGTGGCTAGTCCAGCCTCCCGAGAGACTCTCTCGAGCTACACTACTTCCATAAAGATTACGGGTGCTTAACAAACCATTACAACGTGAGAACTCGAGTCCCACGAGCCTCAATACACTTGCTCGGAAATACCACACTCCAAGACTTCAAACCGAAGGAATATGCCCTTCCTTCGTACAACCTAGGGAACAAACCTCCCTTAAAGTGTTCACAACACTTAACCACTCAAGAACAAAAACTCTCTTAAAGAGTAGAATATGAGTAAACTAATTTAGATCAAGAACACACTCAATTCCTCAAAAATGGCTCTAAAAAGCTATGTAAAAAGTTTATGGAATGATGCAATGCAAAGCTATGAAATGTGTGAGGAATGGTTGTCAAAAGTAGACCCAAAAGACCCCTACTTATACCGAAACACTACAAGAAAATGCGGCTTTTGCCACACTTAAAATTTCCGTTCACAACACATATAAGGGCGGGAAAGAGTGTTCGCCACACATGTGCTAAGTGTGGCGGCAAGCAATGTGGGGAAAATTTTACCACACATAAAATAAGTGTGACAAATTACTAGGTTAAACACACTTTTAAGTGTTGTTAATCTTTTCGTTTGCCACATTTGTAAGTGTTTCTAATGCACCACATATGTTTTATTAAAAGTAAAAAAAATATTTTTTTAAATGTGGCAATTTTTACTTGTTTGAAGATATATATATATATATATATATATATATATATATATATATATATATATATATATATATATATATATACACATACATATATATATATATATGGGATTGACTCCGGTTAGATGACGAGTTTCATCAAGATGACGGTTCCCATCAGATGACACGCTCGCTTCTTAGTCTTTTTTTTCCGCTCTCCTTGGCCTAGACTTCTTTCTTCTTGGCCCAGACTTCTTTCTTCTTTGTCGCTTCGCCCAGTCTTCTTTCTTCTTCGTACATTTCCTTCGCTCCCAATCGCCATCAATTTCTCTTCTCTCCCAGCTTCATCTTTCTCCTTAGACCCAAATAAACCCTAATCACTCCCCAATCTCCATCGCCCAAGCTATCGCAGCTATCTCCCCAAGCCCCTATCTCCATCGCCCAAGCTATCGCAGCATATTCTCTTTGGTTTTGGATTTTCTCTCCAGGTTTAGTGGCGCCACTAATAAAGGTATTTTTTTCTCCCCTGCTGAAGCTGCTTCTGTATCATCTTCGAATATTACTTTTTTCTCCCCTCCTAACTCAAATTTGGAGTCCTAATCCAAGACGAAACTCTGATTTCCAGCCCCTACAAAACGCAGCAGCGAGCAGCGAAGGAAGGGGGAGAACACGACCAGGGCAGCAGCAAAGAAAAACATAGCAGGGTATGACCCTATGGGGACTGGACTTCAGTCCAGCCCCTTCCCCCCATTTTTCCTTGTTATTATTTCTTTAGTTATACTTTGGATGTTACAGTAGGATTTTAATTCAAACAACTGGATTAGGTATGTTGGTGATTGGTGTTTTCCTACTCCAGTAACTAAAATTGTTGTTTGGCACAGTTTTAAAATTAAAAAGGGGATCAACTCCAGACCCAATTTTTGCATCTTTATCTGGGTGGTATTCAACAACATTGTTAACAATGTATGTCTGGTCATCAGCAGATAAAGGATCACCGTCGTTCAACCTATAATCCCAACAAACAAACAAACAAACAAAAGCAAAACAGGTTAGTACGGGATAAGCGTCTCACTTTCCATTTTTAGCAACAAAATAGCATCATACGTAGAAAGATCATATTCAAGATTTAGTTGAAAGGCACAGTTAGGGAAGTAGAAGTTACCCTGATTGCATTATCCTTCTGATGTTTTGCATGATGTGATCAAGCTCAAGGACAATCTCTTGCTCCTCTGCTGTAAATCTTTTGCATGTTTTTCATGCTTCTTAATATCTCTTTTTTTTGACTGGCAGGTTTTGTTTAGTTTTGTTTGAGCCATGTTTTGGTTCATTTGAGCTATGGTTTGGTTGAATTTTTATATATGTTAGGATGTTCACTGATCAAGTACTTTAATATTGTGCTTTTGTGCTGTTAGGCTTAGAGGAAATTTGAGTAAGTTTGTATTCTGGACTTTTCATGTAAATTACCTTATTCTTTAGGTAATTTAATAGCATCTGAAAGCATGGAAGTTGAAGGTGGGAAAAAAAATCATGGAAAAAAAAGGTCGGTTCTTATCTTTCTCAAACACACATCACTTTAAATTTATTAACCTAAAATTTTAAACTTATGTTTTTTGTGTTCTTGTTTTTTTAAGGAAACAAGCTGACTTTGCTGTGGAAGAGCACACTGCTAAACCTTGCACACCTGCAGCTCCATCGACTTCCATAGTTCTTAGGAAAAGTCCACATCTTTTATGTTTAGAACAGTCACCCACTGCCCTTGTCCCCAATGCAATCATTAATAGGCCAAAACGAGATGTTGCGACTATTTTAGAAAGTATAGTTGATGACAAAGATTATAAGACTTGTATGTCTCCGAACGGCCTTTTTAACCTCTTGCAGAGGTTAAATAGTGAGCAAAAAAAAGCTGTTGAAGAGTTGGGTTTTAATTCCCTTTTTGGTCTTGAAGCGTCAGTTCTACCGGTAAAGCTTTCAAAATGGCTTGTTCAAAACTTTGACCCAGATAGCTGTTCACTTAATCATTTAAATGAGCGGGTTAGAATCACAGAAAAGGATGTCCATCTAACCCTTGGCCTCCCGATCGGGCCATTTGATGTGCTAGAAGCTCAAAACAAGCCAACAGACCCTGAGGATTATAAGACTTTGGTCCTTAAGTGGAGAGATGAGTGGGGTTTATAGAGGGATTTTCCACGTACCAATGTTATGCCCGATAGAATTTTAGGAATGGCGGGGTCAAGTGAAGGATTTAAGCTCAATTTTATGGTGTTCTTCATCTCTACCTGCGTATCCGGAAACACAAATACATTTGCAAATTCAAGAGTGTTGCGCTCCTTAGTCGATTTGAGTAACGTGAATAAATTAAACTGGTGCAAGTATACCTTGACCAGTTTAATTAATTCTACCATTCAATGGAAGCGAAAGTCAAATCCTTATTTTACTGGGCCTGTTTTGTACTTAATGGTATGTATTCATTTTCCTTAACATAAAACTTTATAAGTTCCAACACACTAGTTCGCGGTATATATTTTACAGAGTCGTCTGTGTTATACTGATTTTTTGTCTTTTTAGATGTTTTATGTTGATAGGGTTGTCTTCCGAATGAGAGTAGTGATCATGCTCCTGCCTACACTAGTGCTTTGCTTTTTGTTATATAATTTCATTTCCCATTTTAGTTCACTATCTGCCATCCAATCCATTTTTACAGAAACACACTCTATGACTGTTCAATCAACGTCTTAGTCTCTTAAATTAACTCCTTGCTTGGATGAATGAAGTGATCATGCTCTTGCTTCTTTTTCATATATATTTGGTTTGACTTTAAGTGGATAATTTGAAGTTGAAGCACTGAATATCAAAGTAACTTGACACACTTTTTTCTTTTTTAAAAACCTGTTTTAGAATGACGTTTTAGAGGAGGCACGGACTGCTGCAAAAGAGTTGGTTCAAAAAATATCAAAGTGGGACACCGTCTGTAGAGGCTTGAATAGTGAGTTCCCAAATTCAAATGCCGTCAAGAGAATGCAACAAACTGCTGCAGAAGTGATTGTTGCTGTGGGTAAAAGTCCAAGAATATCAGGTACTCCGATTTCGGAAACAAATCCGAAACTGCAATTCGAAGTAGTCCACGAGAGCCCTTCTTTCTTAGCTGAAATATCTCGACTTGAAATGGAATTTTTCACAGTGAAGCGCAACCTTGAGACCAACAGCCAAGACTTGTCCATGCTATCATTTAGCTTTGGGCTTACACCAGAGGAAAAGGAAAATCAAAATGAGGAGATTCAACATGAAGAGGTTCAGCATGAGGAGATTAAAACAAAGAATGGAGATGGCACAGCCCAAACATGCAATCTCACTGCATTGGCAGATGATGTACAGAGTCACCCCCAAATTGAACCTATCCCAGCTTTTCCAAAGAGTGCAGTTCAAGGGCAACAAGAAGAAACTGTTCTTTTTCAGCCAACCCCACCATATACTCACTTTACAAGTCAAGAAATTGCATCCGGTCCTAGCCCTACTCGAAGTCCTGTATTCATTAAAAGACGACTTCAGCCCCAAAGGAAGAAAGAATTTGCACGCGCCTTATGTTCTCCTTTTTGGATAAGAAACATGGAAGCACTCTCACGGTTGAGCCGTGCTAAGAAGGTTCTCACGGACTACGTATTCAACAAATCTCTTTTACTTGGGTAAGTGTTACCTTTTCACGTTGTTTTGTAAAAAAGTTACTTAATTTAATTATTATTATTAAGATTTTTTTGATATTTATTTATCCTATTTTCCATAATTTTAATTACAGGGAAGTTTTGTACAAAGACATGTTTTGTGAAATGAAGCGAAGCGATTTAATATCCTTTTCCGAAGGGTCTGTCTCGTCGCTTATTTTACAGATTTGGTGTCGATTCTTGAATGCCGAGGAAAAGCATCGAAGCAAGTCAGATGTCTATCGAGTTTTCCTTAGCACGAATCCTTTTGTATGTAACCTCTTTACAT